ATGTAGTCCGCCAAATGATACTGCTGAAATCACAGATCCGAAATGTATTGGAGGAGCTTCATAACAGCCATTCAAGAGGACACTTTGGTACTAAAAGGACACTTACACGACTTCGGTAAAGATTTTATTGGGTCAATTGATGACGGGATGTAGAAGATTGGTGTAAGGAATGTGAGCTTTGTAATGGCAGAAAACAACCATGAACAAAAATCGATGTAAAATGGCACAGTACCTTTTCGGAGAGCCTTTCAAATGAATCTCCATAGATTTCTTCGGACCACTTCCCCTAACAGAAAAGGGAAACAAATACTTGATGGTTGTTGACTATTTTTCAAAGTGGCTCGAAATAGCGCCTATTCCTAATCAAAAAGTGATGACAGTAGCAAAAGCATCTATGACGAACGTCATTGCGAGACACGGAGTCTCCCTGGAATTGCATTCTGATGAAACTGTAGGCATCAGGAAAACACGCACTGCGCCTGTCCACCCACAGTCCGACGAAATGGTAGAAAGACACAATAGAACGATGAACGATATGCCAGTATCTTTCAATATTTGTCTCTGATAATCAAAAGGACTGGAACACATTAATTCCTCAATTTCTGCTAGCCTACCGAAGTTTTGAACATAAAACGACTAGTTATACCTCAACCATAATGATTACTGGAAGGGAGATGAAACTTCCCCATAATCTTCTTTTTGGAAGGCAGCCTTCTGGTGAAGAAGAAGGCCGTACACCTCCCACGTACAAGAGAAAGATTAGAGAAGGTATACGAATTCGCTCGGCAACGTTTGAAAGTTGATAGCGATTAATCAAAAGCTAGGATAGACATGCATGACACAGGGATACATTTTGAAAGAGATGATGCAGTATGTGTAAACTGCAATGGAACTGGGAAGGCCTCTACACCGTTCTCAAGAAAATCAACGACTTGATCTACCCCATTCAGTTGTCAGCGAAAAGTAAACCCAAGGTAGTTTACATTGAAAATTTAACGCCACATCGTAGTCCAAATCCTCCAGGTCCCAGTAATTAAGTTATTCGGGACGAATTATTAGAGAAGAGGGAGCAATGTTAGCCTGCAGTAGCCTGAGGCTGTTATAGGAAACGTGCAAATACAAAACGAAGTGTAATGTCACCCGTCGCCCTACAGTGTGCTACGGTCATCATAAGTAAAAGTATGAGTCAAAGAAGAAGATAGAATAGTCCAGAAATAACTGGAAATGTCATTCCTTGCCAAGAAAAATCTGAGCAGTTCAAGAAGGTTCGCAAACTATATAAGTCGATGATCCTGACGTCAATTTTCAGTTATAATACGTTAATGTTATTGGTTGAATTACTGTAAAAGTTGATTTAAAATAAATTGACATACTGAAAACCAGCGTAACAATATTTTTAATGATATCTTGTTGGAACAACATTTTACTTCATCCTGATGTATTTAAATGTATTTATATACAGGGTGTCCCAATGAAAAGTAGCCCGTTTCCATTTGATAAAATTTGGTTACGGTGACTTTAAAAAAGGGGTTTTTTAAAAAACACTCTGTATAGGTAATACATAATTTCTGTGTCACTGAAGCAAAACTTATAGCAAAATAACACACATCAACAAAAACCGCATGTTTCTACGATTTTTTTAAAAGTTATAAGCTCTGGAAATTGGCTACTTTTTATTGGGACACCCTGTATTTTATTGTTTTTAGAATTTTATGGCTCCAGTCTAGAAAGTATTAGCAGAGGATAAGGGCAAATTAAAGTCTATAGGTAAATCTATTGGTAAGTTTTATTTTATTGATAGTGTTATAATTGTTTATTATTTTTAGGTTTAGTAAAGCAAATGGATAGAAAACTATTATTAATATTTAACCAAGAAAAAAAAGTTGCGAAAAGCTACAGATAATGCTCTCGGGTTAATCTATACCCCCATCGAAGAAGATTGTAACCCAATTTTAGTGATTTTGTGGAGAGTCAGAAAAATTTAATTTTGGTGAAAAAACTCACATAATTTAACAAATAGAATAATTAGAACACAGTGGAGGTTACCTATGAGATGTTTAAATTTTAGAAATAATTATAAGTTGAGTTTGATTGAGGTAAAACTTTGACACTGCACACAATAAGGCAGTAAGTAAGATGCAACTATATTACAATAACAATTACCCAATGCCCACAAGAAGGCTTCAATCTTTTAACATGCTACATATTCTTCAAAACTAAAAAATTTGACGTTGGTAAAAAAAAAATCTGGAACGTGTTACTGTCTTTTTAAGGCTGAAATGTTTGCACGTACCTTCAAATATAACATTTTTGATACATTTGAAACTTACGTGTGGAGATAAAAAAGCATACTTGCTATCTTCTAGTATACATACAACCAACCTTATTTGGAATCACCCTGTATTTACGCAATAAACTTTTTAAAAGGAAAAAATTTGGCATGCAACTTTAAGATAAGGCTTTTGTTCTAAACAAACATGATAATAAAGAAGAAATGACTGCTGCGATGTGTTATCTTGTGTAATTTTATTTGGGTCCAAAAAAAAATTTAAAATGTCTTATGTTAGACTAAGAGATGTGCAGAGGGGAAGAATTATTGTTCTCATTGAACAGGGAATGCCACAAAAAGACGTAGCAGAGGGAGTAGGAGTTATATACCTAGGGTGTTGTATCGAAAACATATACAAGGTACTTGGAATTAGGAACTCTCAAGAAAAGGCCCAGACAAAGTCATTAAAGAGTCACAACTGAATAACAGGACCATTTTGTATGCCAAAAGACTTCGCGTTCGAGGGTCGTACTAGGGTGTGTCATTTTTGAACAACTAAAATACAGGCTAAAAACTTCCAGAAAGGTGAAAAAAGAAGCCTCTAAAAATTTGAGCTCTCAATATTATCATTTAGTGGTGCCTGTTCCTAACTTTCCATTTTCCATCTAAATGAAATGGAAAAAAAATTCTTCTTTTTTCTTATTTTTGTAGCTTGACATTTGAGCATTGTAAAAATAAACTGAAAAATTATTTTGGTAGGACAAAAAAGTTTTAATTTATTTTTCATAGAGTGAGCCATTATGAAGATATTATAACTTAAAGTTGCAAATTAATAAAATTGGGACCTTTATATTTATTAAACTTATACTGATTATTTTTATCAGAAAACTAGTTTTGTGCGCTAATATTTTTATAAAGCTAAAAAAAATACATCTTAGATATTATTTTATTATTTAATTAACTATTAAACATAAGTAATTATGAATTAGGTTCAGTAAAATTATTATTTTATGGATTAAAAAAACTTTTTAACAATTAGAATACTGTAGCTGTGGCGGTTCGTGACCCAAATTTTGGGGGTTCACAGTGACAGAATATATGTATCAGTACAGATGTATGAAAAAAACTTTCAGTCTTTTAGAAACTTTATAATATACCTTTCTAAAACAATAACAGTTTTTTACCTGTACCGAGATCTATATTCTGCTACTGTGAACCCCCAAAATTTTGGTCCCAAGCCGCCCCTGCTTATCAGAATTAAATGATGTAACTATATTTGTTGAAGTTTTTTTATTACAATTTGGATATTTTCGTCGGTGCTCTTTTACCACTTATAATAAATATTAAAATTGTTCCTCATCTTTAGTTAGGCATCTATTATATTCTTCTACTAATGCGACGCCACGTCCTGCAACGTCATTGACAACTTTCAATTTTTTGAAAAACTCCAAATTCTCTTGATAACTTTCATTATCTGGCTATATTAGTACATCTTCATCCAGAAAGTCGTACGGCAATTCAAATTTATCAAAAAGTATCAATGATTGTTTTGAAACAAAGTCACTCATATTTTTGTTTAAAAAAATTTCTGGTGAGTTTTGTCTTCTGTGCGTCTTCTATACGAAAATAATTATTTTTTCTTGAAAATAATTTTTAAGACATAAAAAAAGTCATCAGTTTAATGAAATAAAAGTTCCTAATTTCATATATTTGCAACTTTAAGTTTGAATATCTTCAGAACAGCTCGCTTCTATGAAAAAAATTAAGTTAAACTTTTTTGTAGATCATTCAATTTCCTACCAAAATAATTTTTCAGTTTATTTTTACAATGCTAAAGTGTCAAGCTACAAAAATAAGAAAAACTAAATTTTTTCCATGTTATTTAAATGGAAAATGGAAAGTTAGAAACAGGCACCACTTAATGTTAATATTAAAAGCTTAAATTTTTAGAGGCTTTTTTTTTCACCTTCCTGAAAGTTTTTAGCTTGTTTTTTAGTTGAAAAAAAAAAGGTGGTTAAAAATGACACTGTAGTTTGTACAGTAGGAGTAACGGTTCCAATAGTTATTGACCGTCTTAATTGGTGCTTTCAACATCAAAACTGAACCATTGAGAATTGACAAAATGTTCTTTTTATGTATGAGACCAGAATTGGCCTTAAATCAGATGGTTATCGAATTTAGATTCTTAAATAGATATAAAGCCAACAATTTGGATATTGAAAATAAATGAAAAAATATTAAAAAAGGATAACAAACACTAAAGGAATATTTAAGAGCTTGAGAAAGAAATTGACACATAATACAATAGTTATTTATTCACAATGGCAATCAGTAACTTTTTTATCTAAAAACAAACAAAAAATATGATTTATTTCATAAATGTTCTATCGTTTTATTCTTGTGCCTTTGGGAAAAGTGTAGTTCTAACTTTTAAAATTATAGTAGTATAAAGTAAAATATCACATATAGAAATGATAAAGATTTTGAAAGGAGTTGTATATTGGTTTTTATTATTTGTGGTCTTGTATTTAAGTATAATCTATTTCATTAAATGCTCACATCAATATTTTATATAAAAATTTAAAATACCAAGTCGTTGTACAATCTAGAAAAATGTTTAGAAGATGTTAACATTGCGAATAAATATAAAAAAAATCTGATTAATTCGTTAAAACATATAACTTATATTATAAAATATAAATTATTTTAAAAACCGTGAGTTGGTACTTACCAATATTTTAAATATCAT